CAACATTGAAAGAAAATGTGAATAATGTGAAATTATTGCTGTTCACAGTTGTTGCTTTTTTTGCTTCTGTGGCAAGCGCGTTGCGAATAGCGACTCGCGACTCGCGAATCGCGAATCGTGTGAAACACTGCTGTAGTCTAGCCTAGGTATGTTTACTCGCACAAGACATCGTACAGTACAATCGTAGCTATAGCGTAGATCGCAGCTATGTATATGTATATGTATATGTATGCGTATCTATATATATTTATATGTGTATAGAAAATTAACCCAGTTCGCACGTCTGTGCCGAAACAAACACAATAGTGGCCGAGGCAAACGAGTCGTCGGGTGACAAAGGCGAAGGCAGCAAAAGACGAGAGAATACCGAGGGCTCCACCGGGGAGAGCGGAGCTGCCACAGGGATGGAACGGTTGGTGGGGTCTGGTGGGGAGGCCCGCCCGATAATCATGTCGGGGCTGATTGCAGGCGGTCCCGTACCGGCAAAAATGTGCAAATATTATTTTAAGCCAGCCGCCACCAATAGCCAGCCAACTCCCAGCACTCCTTCACCTGCACATCCACCTCGCTCACACATACATACATCCATATGTATGTATGTATGTATCTATGCTCGTATTCGTATTCGTATTCACATTCCCATTCCCATTCACTTTCCCCGCTAGGCAGACACCTTGCCTGATAAGATGAGAACATAATTGTGGGATGACATATTGCACTGCACTGCACTGCACTGTGCTGCACTGAGCGAAAACACTGCTTAGGGAAAACTGGCTCTGGCGGACACAAATCTTTGTATTTCGTATCTTTCAGTTCAGAAGTGGAATGGAACAACCTTTAATGTTTACCATTTGTTTTACTTGAACAATCTTTCCAATAATTGTGTGTAATATTTTTAATTAGTTGGGGAGATCTCAGCAAAAGATTCACTCCGGCAAATCAATAACAATCTGCAGACATAATAAACCTATGCCCATAGACCATACATACATACATACATATATATGTACATAGGTACAATTTATTGTTGAAATATGAAAGCTAATGCCCCGAATGTACCGTAATGCTGACTGATCATCTGACCCTTTACTTACATACTATTCAACTAATAGGCTAGTTTTTCTTTATACTTGGGTCAAGATATTGACTTTAGTCCTTGCTAAATGGACTCACGGCTTATATTTTAATTATTATATTCCGAGATGGTAGTTTATAATATATTTTCTCCCTTTTTTTCGCTGTGTACGCCTGTGCACTATCTTTCATATTCAAACAAGTATTTCCCATATTTCCCCCCCACCCACTCTTGTGGGGCTCTCGGCCTGAATTTGGGTCAAACATGCATACTCATTGGCCTCTCCTCCCATCTCCTTTATCGGCTCCCCTGCCTCCCCTGTCATTCATGGCCTGTACCCCTGTCAGCCAACTAGTCCGATGGAGAGCGGGCCAACTGTGAAGCTGTGAAGAGAAAAAAGAAACTGGAAAATCTAAAATTGTATAACCTGCTCCGGCATCAGACTTAGCTCCAGCAGCTCCAGCAGCAGCAGCAGCGGCAGCTGCCGGTTGTTTCCTTCAACCCACTGGCCTGGCCCAGGTCTGGTCAGCGCCTGCACTTGGGCACAGGCACAGGCTCAGGCACAGGCTCAGGCATAGAGAGTATCTCTGTACGAGTACTCGTATCTGCGGTCATAAATTTCAGCCACTTTGATCTTGCCACATTCAATGTAAAGTGCTTAATGGGCCCAGCAGTTGACCAAAGCGAGCAAAACAAACAGAGACACAGACACAGAAATGGACAAACAAAAACTTTACTCTGAAAACTGAAAGAAAAAGAAAAAAAAACAAGAAGCAAAAACTAAACCTTTTGTGTGGCATAAAATTGCATTGTAATTTACAAAAATATTTCCAGTTCTCATTGTGTCCCCTTACCCGTACCCGTACCCCTACCCCGTTCCCCTATGTTCCCCCCCTTGTCGATGTGTCCGTGTGTTCAGGTCTCCCCAGAGATTTTAATCGTTGTCGCCAGCGTCGCCTTGTCAACGTTGTAGCCTCCCCGAACCGAACCGAACCGACCAGACCAAACCCCCCTTGCCAGATGGCTCCCAGACCCCATCTGAACGATCCGAGCGAGCGTTTTATGCTGCTTTACATTGGCGTCGCATTTTTTGCGGCTACTGCTGCCAACATTGATCACGACTGGCCAGATAGGCCAGAGCTAGGAGCAGCCAGAGTCAGAGCCAGAGCCAGAGCCAAGTCTAGCCGCTCTCTGCACCGACTGCACCAACTCGAGAGCTACAAGTGTGTAGGCTGCATGTACTGGGTATATGCATGTACATACATATGCATGTATATGTATGTATAGAGTGTAGAGTGTATTTATACACGGCATTCTTTCTATGGAAACAATTGCATAAAATGTGAATCCTGATAGCGACAGAAACACAGCCACAGCCACAGCCACAGACTGCCGTCTTCTTCGACTAGGAAATGGTCAAGTCAAGTGGGCAAACAGTAGGAGACCTGTCCGAACGTGTACAGGGAGAGAGAGAGAGAGAGAGAGAGAGAGGGCCCGGACAGAGAGTTTATGATTCCTGCAGATGCCCATGAGACAATGGACCATCCCATCATAATGGATGGCTGTCGAGGAAGGAAATTCGATTGGACTGCCCTTTCTCCCCTCTCCCCCAGCTGGCACCGAACTTGGCCAGAGTAAATGAGGGAAAAGCCAGGCAGACACTCCCATGAACAGCCAGCCCCAAAGTGCAAAAGTGCACTCAAATATTTACACCTCAGCAGACAGTCCTCCTTTGGCTCGCCACTTGCCACCAATGGTCCTGTCCTGCATTTGTTGTGCCTTTCCTATAAAGTAATTTGCAACTTGCCCCAAAAAAGGCAGCACCAGCCAGGCAGAGAGAGAGAGAGAGAGAAATGAGAATACCCGCCCAAAAGGAACTCCTCAGGCGTGGAGGTCAGGCGAAAGGTTAAACTGACAAGATTGACAGGCGGCAAAGCACCAAATGGCGACGACAACCCTGCGCCCATGGAGAGGCGGGTTGGGGCTGGGACTGGGACTGGGACTGAGACTACGACGGAGACTGGGGGTGGGGGTGGAGACCCTTTGTTTCCGTGGCTGTGGTCCCAGCCGAAATGGAACTTTGGAAACTGTCTTATAATTGCCGCATTGCATGTTGCCAGCTTTCAACTTTGATATTAGCCAGTTCCAGAGACTAGTTTGGTGAGAATTGGCGGATTGGGAACAGGGGCGCACCCTCTACATTTATGTACAAATGTAAGACCCCATAAACCTATACTTTTTGCACTGGATACGACTAGGAGTACGAGTACGAGTACATGCAAAGTGGGAAACAAGAAACGACTGCGGCGGCTCCCCTTTGGCATATTACTACGAGTATTACACTTTGCCTTTGCCCCCCCCCCTTCCACACTCTGGTGGTTGCAACAATGTGACCAACAATGCACATTCCGAATCCCGGCTGGTTGTGCTGTTCCCTCTGCTAATTGCATGGGAAACTTCTCAAGAGTCGATGCCGATGATGGATGGTTCCTGCTTAGAAGTCGCTTGATATGAGGCTGCAGAAATTATGCACACAAATGGGGTACACTGATTAGCAGGTGCACTTGGGGGGTGGGGACTTTGGCTTATTATTTCGTTCGTTCTCTGCTAACCCCCGTCTCCACTTGTCCCATATGTACATTCGAATCGGTGAGATTGGATGCTCGGAAGAAAGTGTATTCCTGCATTCAACGTGCCCCTTTTGACTTGCACCTCTTCCATAATTTTCCCATTAATTATGTCTGCGTGTCCCCTCCACTACTCAACGCCTGCAACTGCCACTGCGACTGCCACTGCCACTGCCACTGCCACTGCCACTGCAATTCTTCTGCAAATGATGTAAGGGCCGACGGAGAACTGACATTTGTTGTCAACCTCTTCAGTGGCTAGAGCTACAGTCCCAATCCCGTCTCATTTCTGTGTCTCTGCCTGTGGCAGTAGAAATGCCAGTCAGCCCAAGGCCCGGCCCGGCCTGGCCTGGCTGGGCCCCAAGTGAATCGAATGCACAGCTGTCACAATGTTTTATCATTTAATTTTCATAATAAAAACAAAACCCATGTGACCAGCACGAATAGAGCAGATCCACCGCAGGGGTGGGGGACGGATGAGATCGGAAGCTATGCCATAACGCCCCGCAAAGAGCCAAACGGGCGAGCCAGGTGTGTGGGCGTCGCCTCGATCCACGTCGAGATGGAGCTGATGCTGGTTCGGGTTCACTGTCAGCCAGCAGCCAGCAGGCAGCAGGCAGCTGCGAATTATTATTTAACGACTTCTTCAGTTTATGTCTTAACACTCTGTGTATAGCTCTTTTTTCGGCAAGTGTTTTCGCCAACGCCAAAGTGAAAGTGAATCGACACGGCCGATGGCTGGGGCAGGGGCAGGGGCAAGTAGCAGGGGAAGCATTTACAGCTGACACTGCACTTGGGTTTGGGTTTGGGTTTGGGTTTGGGTGTTTGAAGTTGTTGCTTTCTGTTGGCTGTTGCTTCGTTTTGGCTGACTCTCTCTCTCCCTCTCTCTCTCTCTCTGTTGTTGCACCTGAACTTTAGCTTCAGATCGGGCTCAAACTTCCCAGCTCTCTGCTAACAACAACAATTAGTGTTTATTTGTTGCTGTTGCTGTTGCAGTGTGTCGCTTTTCTACGAAGCTTCGTCAACTTCAACTCCAATTAGAGTGTCAGTTTAATGAACTGCCTGAACAGCTTGTTTGTCAAGGCGCCTACCCCGAGGCCCCTAGGCCCCCAGGCCGCAGTCACTCGGACAGACCCTATTCGGGCACTTGAGGGGGGGTTAACTGCACTACACGATGCAGATTTTGATGTCTCGTTGAGCTCAAACGGCGGCCTTAACCCTTGCTCTCTCTACTACGTATTTTGAGCGATACTTCAATATTTTAACATTAAATTTGCCTCTTGGTTTCTACTCTGCAGATTATCAGCGAGATGGCGGAAATCGTGTACACCGCATTGGACTACAACCTGCCGGAGGATGAGGAGTGCCAGATGTCGCAGGAGCTCGAGAATCTGTTCAACTTTATGACAGCAGATGGTGAGACTTCGATCGGTTGGGGTTTTAGCTCTACGAGTATATCGGGAAAGAACGCGATTCTCACATGCAAAACTGTGTAGATTTGCCATTTCTTTGTTCATTTATCGCAGTGATGTAATACATACATATGTATGTAGTTATTCACACAAGATTCTGTGGGATTGAGTCACTTTCTGTACTGGAAGGCCCCTTCCCCCATCGAAGAGCAGCCTTCAAGCGGAAACCCCATTCTATCAAACCGCACAGCTGCACAGCTGAAAGCGAGATGAAGGTCTCCCTCCCAGATCTCCTGCCATGAATCACGAAACTTTGATAAATGAAATCAAACGAAATGAAACACAAATGAAACAGAAATGTGTACTTGAACTATGAAAAGATATCCCAAGGGAGGGGAGAAACCGAATTGACCCTGTTGTTGTGTTTATTGCAGAGACTGACGAGGATTGCATCGACGAGGGCATCGACGAGGGCGACAAGCGCTGGGACGACGAGGCGGAGGAGGAGCGCAACGATACCAAAGAACTAGAGCACATAATCGAGGTAAGTTTCGGTTTCGGTTTGGGTTTGGGTTTGGGTTTCAGTTTCCGTTTCAGTTTAGGTGCTGCTCGGCATCTGACATTTGAGATCGAATCGTGTCATGATGTGCCAAAAATACTCGCAAATCCATGACTCAGATAAGTCTGAGGGGGTGCGCCACGGGCTGACCTTTTGACCAGGCTCAAAGTGCTCCATTTGGCCAGCACATTTGACATATAAATATCCTATATATATGCTATTATATGCTACATACATATATGGTATATATATTGTGTGTGTATTTGTGTGGATCGATCTGTCGTGTGGGAAAACTTGTTTGGCGCGCGTTACAGTTAGCCAGAGAGGCAGAAGGGGAGACAGAGAGGCAGAGCTAAGAAATAAAAGTATCCGCGAGATACATGTGGCTCTGTGCAGTCTTGCAGTCAAGTATCTGTATCTGTATCTGTATCGCGGCTAACCGCAGCCAACAAGCATAGCATGGCCCAGGTTCTACTTGGATTACGAGTACCTGACTGTGACTGGAAAACAATTTCCAATCGCTTCTCGATTGCACTCGCAGCCGCAATGTTAAATAACCGAAATAACCATAAAGACAGGCGCTTTCGTAATCACAAGGAAACCATCACATCAGGCTAGAATCTGAAACCTCTCCGCTGCACTGGATTTCACACACAAATGCGTCGCTGGAATTTTTCTCATTCCCCCTTTCCCCCTTCCCCCTTTCCCCCTTCCCCCTTTCCGGGGCGCAAGTGCATCCAGCTGACGATAGCTATCATCGCTGGCCGCTTGGCCGCCTGGCCCCATGGCATTGGGGCGTGTGATAAACCTCACACCGTTGCTGATTGAGTCCAAGTCCGATTCGTTCTGTCCGAGCGCCCCGGGGGGAGGTGCCCGAGCGGCCGCTCCAGCTCTAATGAGCCACTTTACAGAATTGACACATTGCTGTCAGGCAACAGTGAGCAAACTTCTGCCAGAATCCATGCCCCTTGTCCGCCTTTTCTAACACACAAGCGAAAAGTGGAAGAGTATCTGCATCTGCACTGATAGAAAAAAGGCATAGTAAAAATAACTACAATCATATTTGAATTTAAAATGCCATTTTTAAATACAAACATAGTAAAATTTAATAGAATTCACTTTGATTCAAATATAAATGTATTAAAAATGCTTTTTTAAATACGGTCATATATAATATTACAAAACACTTCAAAATAACTATAATATGTATATTAAATTTGTAGTTTAATATGTTTCATATTTAAATTGAATATTATTATGACTTGATTTCAAAATTGTTCTACTTCCCCATGTTTATATTATTTTTTTATGTCCCTCGAATTCCCAACTAGTTCCAGCTGCTGCTGCCTTGAATGCACAGTAAAATTATCTTAGCGCAGGGGCATAATCACAACCAATGCAGTCCTACTCATGTTGCGATTATTTCTAGTTGAAAACTTTAACCAATTCACACCATGAGGACTTGAAATGTAATTTGCGTACGCAAAATAATAACCAATTAGTTAAAAATGAATATAAATATAAATATCAAACATATTAGATTTAAATATTAAACATATTTAATTTAAATATGAAGCATATTAACATTAAATATGAAACATATTAAATTTGAATATGAAACATATTAAATTTAAATATGAAACATATTAAATTTAAATATGAAATATATTAAATTTAAATATTTTTATATTAATATCAAAATTTAAGTGAAAAATATTCAATTTTAATACAACCACTCTTGGATAAAAATCAATGGCATAAATATTAAAATCTAAGTGAAAATATTAAAATTTCATATTATATTTCATATTTCTAACCCCCGGTGTGGTGTGGGGAAATTTTCCCTGTACGTACAACACTATGGCAGAACCCCCCAAAACTTAAAGATAGCGATTTTATAAAGTTGCACTAATATTATTAAAAGTTAAATTTACATTTGTTTATAGATAAAATTATTGCTTTTAATTTAATTTAAATTCTTTTTTTATTATCTCTTGTTTCTATATTTCTGCATTTCCTTTGTCTGTATTTAGTATTGTTTTAATGAGAAGTGACAGGAAATTGGCTAGAAACCGAAACGAAGTTATCTATACAAAGAATGGCTGCATGCTCGTATTTACATACATATAGTACATATGTATACATATGTGTACATATCTGCGGAACTAACGCAGATAAAATACGTATGCAAATATTTTAAAGAGTTCCCATGAACAATAGGTCAGGAATAGGAAACAATTACCCTTTTAAAGTTAGTTCTACAAAACAGTAGTAGCTCCAAAATCATTAGTTAAAAATTAATCAAATTACTCGTAAAATACCAGTAAAACTATAAAGATTAATAGCCAGTTCTGTTCTCCACACTCTTTTGTAAAGTCACAAAATTCAAAGAGCTACAGAACTACATTGAAACTCAGAAGGAAGGTGTCCGCTAATTGAACCGTCTTGAAATCGTTTGTTCGCCCGTTTAATCGCACACCTAATCACATTCTCGTTTCAGACCTGCAGAAACCACCTGCAGAAACCCGCACTAGCAGACAATCACTATAAGGCCGTGTGCCGAGCCCTGGTAACGGAGACAATAGAGCTGCGCGTGTTCCTGCAGCAAGTCCTGAACAATGGTGAGTCTTTGACTCTTGGATCAATCATTCGACAATCAGGGTGCTAATAGTCCGATGGACCATTCTCTGCCACAGGTGCCGAGAAGCTGATCAAGGCCTCAGAATCGTCTCCGACCACACAGAAAGAACTGGCGAAGCTGGGCTTCAACGACTGGGTAAGATTTTCTATACCCCCCGAGACTGTTATGCAATCCGTACAGCTCCACTAATGGCCTCTGAAGTGGGCCACCGACTCACGATCACTGTTCGTTGGTCTGGCGCACCTCTTTGACCAGAGTCCGGCCATAAGCCTTAGCCACCATCATCATAATCATTATCGCAGAGAGACTGAGAGATCACGCGCGATGTCCGCACATGTGAGCAAATTTTTGGTGGGGTTTTCCTGTTTGGCTCAGCGGAAAAAGTGAACTATTTCATACTTAGGTATTGCCAAATGAATTCACTTTTAATTTCAATAATTGGCCCGCGGCGACCGACAGCGTCCACTCGACCATCATCCTAATGAGTTCACCGCCACCGCCACCGCCACCGCCATCCATTCCATATATTTTCTGCGAGATACTTGTACCACGGGTATAATGGGCCACACACTAGTCTATAAATTTGTGTGTTGGTTTGACCTTTGCCGAATATGTCGAGGCCGTCACAGGAATTTGCCATCAGCGTCGTTGGACCTCCGGAACCCATTGAGACCCACACGCAAATTGGCCAGACACGCAAAGCAAAGGCGAATTTGTTTTTTACTCGGGGCATCGTGAAAACATATACTAGAGTGGCTTCACTTTACCGTTCGAGGTGTGTTCGGTTTGTTTTATCGGATTGGATCGGACACCTGAACCTCTCCAGTCCATGGCTCTCCAGAGAATAGCTGGAACATAAAAGTTCTGGTCCGGAATGCTCTGATGCAGGGAAGGTGTAGAGTTGTTTCATTAGTCGTACGAAGAGAATGATTTTAAGTAGTTTTCTTCGTGACAAAAATGAATTCAAATGAAATGTAGTTCCAGTGTTAATTGGTTTATTCTGTTTGTAGAAATTCTTAGAAGCTTTCAATTTATATGAACTGCTAATCATATTAGGCTCAATTAATTCTACCATTTCGGGTTTGGATTATAGCACGTAATCAGTACTAAAAGCTTGACTTGGGTAGCAGTTTAGATGCTGAAAACCTGCAGCAGTGCAATGAGGGATTCACTTTTGACCCCAATGACAGCAATCAAAGGAAACTTTCTTTGGGAATAATTTCTTTAATTTAATTTGTAATTCCCTTGTCGCACAATGCGAAATCGTCTGACCACTAATGATCCCTAAGTTTCGGTTCAACATTCAGACTTTCCTTTAATTTTCAATCACATCGACCTCAACTGAAAATCTTCCCCTGTACCCGGACACCGGCAGCGGTCCTCCCGTTTGTTGAATAATTTCTCCGCCCTGGGCCCCGGTCTTGGATCACGTCACTCGCAATGTTTGCATGTTTGATAGCACAGAAAAAACCGCAAAAACCAAACAAATAAGAAACTTTGCGTGCGAGCCAAACGACAAATCATACGAGCGTGTAATAGTTGCTCATACACATCCATCCATACTATGCTGTATATGTACATGTGTACACATATATACATATATCTTAGCGCATATCCAGACACCGTCCAAGACCGTCTTCACGCCACATTCGTAATTAAATAAATAGACCATAAATATTTGTTTGGTTTGGACTTTTCGTGCCAGTTCGCTTTGCATTTGCATGTGCTGAAAGCCATTCGTAGATTAAAGAAGGCGCAGTCGTCTTTGCCAATTGGCAATTAATTGGCCAGACAGGTGGCCCATCATCATCATCATCATCATCATCCTCATCGGGCTCGAACCACATTCTGCACTCGAGAGTGTGTGTGTTGTCTTGTATTCGTACTCGTACTCGTACTCGTATCATTGCCAAACGTAATTTCAGGCAATTGTTGGGCTGATTAAAAGCGCTCCCTTATCATTTCCTAGCTGTTCGATAAGGGTCTGCCGCTTCTGCCCTGAGCCTGCCCATTCAATTGGCCTTTTTCTATTGTCTATTGTCTATTGTTTGTGGGTAGCTTTTTCTCCAGCTACTGCTTTTTCTGGAGAGAGACCAGCCCAACCCAACCCAACCCAAGAAGTGTGTCTCTAGTCAGCGCTTCATCAGTTTTTCCCAGAATCTGGCAGCCTTCAGAATGTCACAAACCGCAGCAAAGATTGTGGAAAAAGTGTTTTTATTGTCTCGCTTCTTTGCGAGAAATTAACATTTATTTTGTTGTTTGGATTCCGCATGGCGGTTTTTGCTCGCATTCTGTTTGTTTCTGATTCTGTTTGCTATCACGTGGGGGCTTCTGTTCGGGCAGATATCCCAAACTGAGGCACGTCAGGTATGTGTAATTTCGATACCAAAACGAAATGCTTTTTTTCCTTTTTTTTTAGCGTTTAGCCCCTCGCTTTGCACTGCTTAGGCGCTCCCATCAACCATGTCGCACCAGGCAGACATCGGGTCGGTTGTCTGTGTTTCGGTTTGCTGCCTGCCGTCATGACGATGGCCAGACAGGTGGGTGACGCTGACGGTGACGGTGACGGTGATATGGGCCAGTTCCTATGGTAATGTGCCGATCCAGTCTACCAAAATGTTGCACTGTACGCACCTGTATGTGGATTGTACATGGTACATGCATGCAACCCCACAGCAACAGCCAGCTCTTCCGGAAGCTGCCGCCACAATGTGGGGGCCGGGTCTATCATCGCTGTTTGTGTTGCATTAATTGAAGCGTGGCGGGGCATGGCGTGGCGGGGCATGGCATCTTCAGCTTTTCAGATCTTTGTGGGTGCAACATTTGCTGGCGTTTGGGCCCAAATGTGGTGCCATGCCCTCAGCTGTGGGGCAACGCGATCCCCCACCCGATCCGATCCCGTTTTGCATGGTTAATGAGCTGTCTCAAAATGCATTGCCACCAATTGGGCGCGAGTGGGGGCAGGAACAGGAAGAGCAATGCAAATGCAGCAGTGGAAAGTGAAAACGCGAATCGCTGTTACATAGTATAGTCGGTCGGCCCGTCCCCTGCCTGCCTCACAGCCTCGTCGCCTCCATTGTGTGCTAAATAGTGGCAGTCTTCCTGCCATCGCACAGCATTCAACACACATTACTCATATGCTGTACGCACAGTTAGCTTGTCATGTGGCAAGTGGCAAGTGGCATGCATGTCTGGTCTGGCATTAATCAGCCATGCATTGGCCTGCCGCACCGGCAGCCCCAATTATATTAGCTAATTAAATGAAAATATTCGTAGCGGGGCTCGGGTGCATAAAAGTGAAATGTGCTCTCCCTCTCTCTCTCTCTCTGGATGGGGCAAGTGGCATACAGTTGACTTAGACTTATCCTCTGATTTGTGGTTATCTTTCGTCCTCCATTCATACCAAACCAAACAAAACCAACCCGAACCCAACGAAGTGGAGGTATGGAGAGCTCTGCAAGTAGGTGGAAATAGTCGGGGAGTAGCATGTCCCTAGTTGCGTTGCATGTCTCGCTATCCGTTCTATCTACACACATAGATACACTCCTGTATCTGGACAGTCTCTAAGACAAACACTTTCCCCATTTGCAGGCACGCTTCTGGGTGCAGGTGATCGACGAGCTGCGCCGCGGCGTCCGCCTGAAGAAGAGCAACTTCGAGCGCACACCCATCGAATACGAGCTGACGCCCTACGAGATACTCATGGGGGACATTCGAGCCAAGTAAGTACATAGCAGAGGAGAGAAACAGAAATTCCCACACAAAGCACAAAGCACAAGCACAAAGCACATCCAATCACAGCCGAATTTCTCTTTACAGAAAGTATCAGTTGCGCAAGGTGATGGTCAACGGAGATATACCGCCGCGCGTCAAGAAAGATGCCCATGCCATGATCTTGGAGTTCATCAGGTCACGGCCGCCATTGAAGAAGGTGTGTAGTGCCCCCAATCGAACAACCACAACCCCAACCACAACCACAGCCACAGCCACAGCCAATTCCAGTCCCAAAAGCAATACCGATCCCCAGTCCAACTCCCCACTGGCCTCTTGCCGAGTTTAAATTTTCACTTCACTTTCTTTACTGTAGGGAGGAACCAAATTTATTTTGTGGCTTCCAATAAAAATTAACAGTTTCATTTTCGCATTAAAGCTCACATTCGTTACTCTACTTTTGTTGTTCTCTTTGCTTTTTCCAACTGCATCGTCCCCAGGCATCCGAGCGCCAACTGGGCCCGCCCCGGAAGTGCACGCCCTCGCCCAGAGAACAGCTCATGGAGTCCATCCGGCAGGGCAAGGAGCTGAAGCAGATCACCCCACCAGAGGCGCCCCCCTTGAGGCAGAGACGTAAGTCCACAGAAATAGAAAGTAATTTGCATGACGAGTACTTTAGTTCTACACGGGTATATTCTCGTAAGTGTGTGTAACCTTTAGGTCAAGGTGGAGTAAAAAGCTTAAGCAAAATCCATAATTAAGTAGGCCAAGGAATTAATATGTAGCTCTCCATTATCGTAGTTGGTGGTTTGGTTGGCTCCACCTACACCTTAAGATTCCAACTCAACTATAAAGACTCTAGCATATACATATCCGATCTGATGTCTGCTTACCATATTCATTTTCTCCTGACAACGACGAGAGTCATAAACCGACGACAACAAAGGGCGTCACTAATTCGCCTGTCAATAGATTTCCCGGCAAAAGAAAAGCCTGTGCTTTTCCACAGTGACTGCCAAAAATAGATGCCGCCTCTTATCTTTGGTGGGTGTCTGTCTGTCTGTCTGTCCTCGCATCCATCCTCTCGCCGGTGTGTTGTCATCGCCGATTTCCAATTTTAAACGCCAGCCGCCCATAAATTGTTGTCATACGCATGTGCTTACATAGACAGATGTCTCCCCTCTCCAAGAGAGATAGAAAGAAAGAAAGAGAGAGAAGAGAGATAGGAAAACTTGTGAGTCGCAAATCTTTTCACTGCACTTGTCGTCCGGGGAGCTCCATTGTCCGTCCGTCGTCCCAATCTGTCTCTTTTTCTTTCGGCGCAGCGCGCATGCCAACATAGATCAAAAACGGCCACTTTTTCCAATACCCAATCCCCAATCCCAATCCGAAATCCACAGTCCACAGTCCACAATCCGCTCTGCTGAAGGAAGCGTGCAAAACTGTGACACACAAAGATAGCGACACCGCATCGACAACGACCAAGCCAGGCACGACTACTGCCTCCCCGCAGACAGTGTATGTTTGTCAGTTGGTTTGTCGTTGTTGCTCGTTGCTTGTTGGATGCAGTAGGTTGTTGCTTTTCTTTGGCTGCCGTCTCTGGCTGGGAATCTTGTTTGTCTCCGATATGTGCAGCTGCTCACCGAAATGTATGTTTTGGCTGCCGAAAAAACTATTCAATTGGTCAGCATTTAGGCCCATTACGGAACGAAGTAGATATTTTAGCTATGAGTTTTGTATGATTCTGAGCCAGTGCATTCAGAAGAAAGTCAGAAATTTGGCTATTGTCATCCGTATAGCATCGATTTAAAAATGTTCATACAGAAATCCATCTCCTAGATATTCGAATAATCAGCACAATCGTTTTCTAGCATCGCTTCTCTTTGCTATGTATTGGTCGAACCTCATTCAATTAGTATTACCTTTTTGCTCGTTTCCATTTAAAACATGCGGATATAAAATAAGTAACGTTCTTACCATCTGCTCGACATGAATCCAGTTACAGATACTACGAACTTTCTTAGTCGATTTCTCAGTCCTTTTTGATTGTACCCATTAATCAAAGACAGTACCTTCCATAAGTATAAAGTACGTACCATACATATGTACATATATTCCTAATCATCATCAATAGCCGATTCAACATAGCCATGTCTGTCTGTCTGTCCGTCTTGATTGTCGCCTTGAGTTTTTATACCCGTACTCAAAAAAGAGTTAAGGGGTATATTAGATTTGTGGTAAAAGTGGATGTGTGTATATATGTGTATATATGTATATATATTCTTGATCAGCATCAATAGCCGAGTCTATATAGCCATGTCTGTCTGTCCGTCTGTCTGTCTGTCCGTCTGTCCGTCTGTCTGTCTGTCCGTCTTGTTTGACGCCTGGATCTCAGAGACTATAAAAGCTAGAGAAACCAAATTTTGTTTCCAGACTCATGTGATATCACACTGCTATAAATGTATTTCAAAAATACGATCCACCCCCTTCCGCCCACACAAAGAACGAAAATCTGTGGCAGGCACATTTTTAAATAAATAAATAAAACTAAAAACGCAGTATCGTAGAAAATTACCATATCTACCAGATTGCCGAATCTGAATCAGATCGGATCATAATTATAGCCAGAATGAAGAAATGAATTTTCTGTTGGTTCCCTCTCCTTCTCCAGCGCTGCTGACGCTACTGATTCTCTTTCTCGCTCGCACACTCTGCCGCGTTCAGTGCGCGAGCAACCCCTAGCGGAGGAGATGTAGAATCTAAATGGTACATGTATAATCTACATGTTAGATGTAGAATATACATAGTATATGTAGATGTAGCAAAAAAATGTACAATTTTTTGTAATTTCTAAAAAATTATAAGCTCAAAAATGTATATACTGACTGAGTACGGGTATAAGTAGAGTCGCGTTCCCAGAAGCGACTCACACGTTCCTACTCGTTTTTTAAATAATAATATACATATATCCTACATGAAATTTACATGCATGCTACATATACACAATACAACTACGGATAAGTGGACACGGGAGCAGAAAAGTGTGCACTACTTTTAGGCGTTTGTTTGTTTCTACAATTGATGTATAAAGTATAAAGTATGTAATTTCGGATAACGAAAGATCGTCAAGAATTTCTTTAGAAAAAAAATGTACATAAATAAAATATAAATTAACACCCACTGTAATAATGCTTGCAAACATTTTAAATATTGTTGCAACTTTTATTTCAATGCCCCGAGACCCCCGTTGCTTAGTCCCCGCTACTGCGTCCTACCTCTACGTCAACACCCGAACCACCCACCCAAGGAGTGACGTAAAAGTCCCCCCTCCCCACCACTAACCAAAACAACACATGAGCGCCAAGCCAAACTACGCTCTCTCTCTCTGCCTGAAGCTCTCATTCATCCCACTCTCTTCGCTGAGAGAGAAGTCTCTGCGCATGCGCGCTACGAATACGTTCCCTACCTAATAAATTTATATCATGCGTTCATGCGAATATTTAGAACTAGAAACTTAAAATTTATTGGATATATGTACATAGGTTATTATTTTTCATAAGAATAGGATTCGGAATTTCGCATGGATGCTATGAGTATTATGCTATGAATATGCACACATCTGACGTAAAGAGAGCAGCAGACAATTTAGGCCACCGGCGAGCGGAATAGACGTACCTTTTATGGATATACCACTCTCACGGCGAGTAGTAGCAGTAACTGGTTTGGGGTTCCCGTGTTTTGAGGCTTGGCGGTTGCGCCTCATTCGTTCGCTGTTGTTGCTGTCGGTTGGAGGAGCAGTGGACTCCATTGATTATATTATGTTGAGAGCGGTGGGAGCGTGGCGCGGATGGCGAAAGGAAACAAAAACTGGATGATTAATAGAACCAAACAAGGCTCGAGGAAAGGCACGGCCTAACGGAAAGTTATAGTGGAAAGTCGGCTGTCAGTTAGCCAGTCTGTCAGTTGGGGAGGGAGCCGGACACAACCCTCGGCGAAGCATAGGAGGCAGCCCTGTGGGGTTGGTTCCCATTTGTTGTACTCCCCGGATCGATAGCCCGAATGCAACCGTGTGGCACACAAAGAGCGAAAAAGTGAAAAGGCAACAAGAGTGAGCCGAAGTGATTCGAGAAGTGCCGTGGAAGTGGAGCAGCAAGCACCTAGCAGCAAGCAGCAAGCACCAGCAGGCACCATCCACCACTCGGCCAGTCGGACATGTGGAGACTGTAATCCGTGACCGTCGCTTCGAGAGTCAGCCCAGCGCACAAATGGACTCAAAGCCCGGGATGCCCAGTGCCAAGCGCTCCACTGCCGCGTCGGTGTTCAAGAGCCACCACGTGGTGCGCGCCGCTGATGTGGTGGACGTGGGCAGCGATGCTTCCCTCTACTGCGGCTCCGACGGGGACAGCCAATCGGAGCCCCAGCCCCAGCCAACGCCTCGCGCCGCGCCGCGCGCAACAGCCCCGTCGGCAGCAGTACCCAATCCGCCGACACCCAAGCCACGGCAGGCCGTCAAGCCATCAAAAGGTAACCCGAAAACGATGGCTCCATGCCCCAATATTGCTTTGGGCCACGAAAATGCTCTGCTCTGCTCTGCTCTGACCTGGTTTCAATTTCAGCCTCGTCTATACCTTTCTTAGTGTGTGTGTGTGTATGTCTGAGGGGGTTCAGGGAGGGGGTGGCATGCCCCCAAGGCATTGTGTGTGTGTGTAAGGAGTAAATCTGAACCGCCTGCAGTGGCTGTGGTAATTGCAGTCATGATACGACTCCGACTCTGAGCTCCAGTCATTAAAGCCATTAAGCAATCCGCACTCCGCAGAGGAAAGATGTGCAGAAGTGTGGATACCCTTCGTATTTCCGCACTCAGGAAGGAAATGGTTGACCAAATGTGCCACTGAACCTGTAGAAAATGTGTTCTGCATTTGTATCTCCGATCTGAACCCTGATTCTGGGTGACGTTTTCCCCGAAAGTAGCCTCGGGTCAAAGGGCAACGGCAACGGAAACGGCTATTATGGGGCCGGTCATAAAGTGTATCTTCGACAAGTAGAAAAGTGAAGCGACCCCTCTTTCCGCTGCTGAAGTTCCCAGGCATTGCACAAGCCACAAGCCGCGCTCCGGAGTGATTTCATAAGTAGAACCATTAAGTGCGCCGGGTCTTAACGGTTTCTCTGTGAAGTGGCCGGCAAAAAGTGCGAGGCGTTGTGCTGACAACTTCCAACTTTAGTGGAAGAGCCAGCCATCCAGCCAGCCATCCGGGCAGGTCTACTCTAATTGCGCAATGAGTGGACAGAAAGGGCAGACATGAGCTGGATAGAGCGGAGCCGGTTTCCGAGTGAGTGAGTGAGTGGTGGGGTGGAATCTGCTTGCTACCCAGAAATGCCATTACTCCATGATATTCATTAGATAATCCCATCACGCGCAGCAGCCAGCCCATGCAGTCCATTTTCCCATGGCTTCAGCTGCATTCACTTTCGCTTGGGACCAGAGTTGGGACTCATTGTTTCTACGATCTTTCCATTTTCAGTGCTTCCAAGTGCGAACTCCACGCTGTCACGTTCCAGGCAGCGGCTCATTAAGGTGGATTTCTCACAGCTCCAGGTCAGTCCAAGGGGGACTCTGAGTCTGAGTCTGAGTCTCCCCAGATGATCCTTTTGGTCGTTTTGCTAACCGAATTTTACATCCTCCGCCCGATAGGACGACGAGCTCTTCTTCGATGAGTCCAGCATGAGCAGCTCCCACTCCACAGCGGCCACACACCAGCACCACCATCAGCACCACCATCAGCATCACCATCCCCATCTCGCCGAGCTGCATCGCTGCTCCCAGCCCAAGATGCCACCGTATCCGTTTGGGGGCTACATGGTGCCCAGCCAAGCGCGGCAAGAGTGCCAGGCGACGGCGTCGCTGATGCGGCCCAGACGCACAAGTGAGTATCCAGTTCTATTTATTGTGCAATATCTGTAATCTATAATCGGTACTACGGGCACTACTTATGGGCACTGGGCGCACAAAGTACAGAGGCAACTTGAGTGATGTATTGAAATTCAATCACTTTTCGGTCAGACTTGAGTGTAGAATAAATTTCTGTTTGTCCGATTGACAACATAACGAGTGAACCTACATGCTACGTACATATGTATGCATGTAGGTGTGTAATGTCTGAAAGATTCACTTTTAAGGGAAGGGACAACATCCAATAATTATGTGGGGTATTCTATTATCGCCTTTTAATGCTTCTCAACTTTAATTTACTCTCTGCCGCTTTTAAAGAAACTTTATTTCTGTTTAATGGGTTTTGTTTCCTCTTTACTTTGGGCCTTATCTGCTGTATATTATCTCTGGTATTAGTTTTAGCTTACACGAAGTGCGTAACACAACTATAAGTCCGACTTATGCATTGCCTTACAGTTGTGACGCGCACTGCACACTGTACAATATTTGTAAGATGGTTTAAGTTTTTATAATTTTAATTTATTTTGTTTTTATTTCTTACATTTTTCCTTTTCCCCCCACAACAACCCACAACAAACCTAATTTTGCAAAGGTATTTGATCGTTTTACTGTGACCCACTGTGACACACTGCTAACTACTTTCGACTAATTGTAATTATTATTTGTATGGTTTTGTGCGAAGCAACAAGGCCCCAGCCCCAGCCCCAGCAAACCAAGTGTTGTACGAGTATTATAACTATTTACCCGCCCCCCACCCCGTCCCACAATCGCACAAAGAACAAATCCAGATAAACAAAACGAAAACTACAATTCTAAGTAACAAGCAAAAGGAGAAACCTTTAAGGGGGTTCGGTGTGGGCAGATTCGATTCGAGGGCTAACAAAATGGAGTTGGTTCAGCTTAAGCCTTAAGGATGAGCGCACTCACGCACACACGCACACAAAACACACACACACAGACATAGACACAAATATACAAAGAAAAATCTCGAAATATTTTGTAAAATTAAAAAGCAAAAGAAAACGTATAAATAAAAGAGAATCTACTGCAAGCTGCTCCTTAGCACTTATTAAAATTATTATTATTATTATTATTATTTTCTGCACTCGAGTAGATCTTTCTCTTTCACTAAACGATTTTTGGTTGCTGCCCTGTATGAGAAATAATGTAATTTCAATTCTGAATTCAAAATGCCACACAATACGCTTAAAAAAAACAAAAACAAATTAACGCTGCCACAATAATTCCTGGCGCTGCAGTGGATCCACGCAAGCAGCCTCAGCCTCAGCCTCAACCACAGCCACCCCCGCCTGCAGAGCCATCCTTTACGGAGGACGAGTACCACAGGTTCTTCGACAATGCCCTGGAATGTAAATATTTAAAGAACCTACTAAAATCTCTCACGCTTGCTTTCCATTCGATGCATCACGGAGCCAATCACATCGCTCATTCAGCCTCTTAACTCACATACTCGTACACACACACACACACACACTACAAACATATGCATACGCATACACCCAATGCCACGCCTCCCACCGCCAGCATAACCCCAACCCAACCCAACCCAACCCAACCCCTGCCTAAGCAGCCTATGACACATTTAACATTTCGAAAGCCTTCTTCTGCCTGATTCGACCTCCTCCCCTCTCTCCTGTACATTCATAGCGGAAATAACACATTCGCAACGTGGACGCCGGCTAACGATTCCCTTCGCTTTTTCTGTACTCCCCAGCCTACGACCTGGCCACTCAGTGCGAGTCGCGACGCGCCTCTCTGCGGCGCCACACCATCGTGGGCTGCCAGAGCAACCTGGAGGAGACGCACTCGATGCCAGCCACGCGCCCCGAGTCGCGTCAATCGGATGACGCAGGCAGTCAGTCGGGAGCCAGCTGTGAGGCCCCCAGGAAGAGCCCCCTGACGACGGGTGAGCACTCGCAGAGGACGGAGGTGCCGCCCAGGCTGGACGAGGCTCATTCAACATCCTCGCTTGGCCCATGGAACAAGTCCTTCATGGATAAACAAACCTGGATGGAACGGGGGGACGATCGCCTGTCCGTCACGCTGGCGGAGATCGTTCACATACGTTCTGTCATGACCAAGGCCGAGCTGGAGGGCCTGGAAAAGCGTCGCGTCTGCTTCCTGTGCCTGCGCACACGCTTCTCCTTCTTCGGGCCCTGGGGTATCCAGTGCAAGCTCTGCCAGCGCACTGTCTGCGCCAAGTGCTACACCAAGGTGAGGCTCTCAAACAAATCCGGAGAGCCGACTGATCAGATTATCTAATTATTTATCTTTCTGTCGCAGATGCGCATTCCCTCGGAGCACTTCAGGAACGTTCCCCTTGTGCTGATCTCACCATCGCTGCTGTCCAGTCCGGCCAGCTCGAGCACCCCCTCACCCTCTCACCACGCCCACCAGGCGCACTCCTCGTCGACGGGGAACATAGTGGATGACCAGTTCCCCAAGTCCCTGATTGAGCGTCTCCTGCGCTCCGAGTCAGATAGAAAGGTATGCCCCACGCGAGCTCACCTTCTCCTTGCCATATCACTCACTTGAGCCCCCTTTGCAGACTCGCAGCACTGTGGGCAGTGCACCATCCTCACCCAAGCACCAAAGATCAAACATGAGCACTCCCGGCATCAGCGTGGGCCCGGGAGCCGGCGCTTCCTCATCATCCGCCGCCCCCGGCCATGCCGTGGAGGCCCTGCACGACCAGGCGTCCATGTCCGCCTCCTACTCGTCAGCCATGCGACCCTCGGGCGTGATGCAGCACCACCAGAAGCACCACTACAACAACGCCATGTCGCGGAGCATGGAGGGACCCCGGAGTCTGCCCGTGCACAGCCCAGCATATCGACCGCTGTCCAACAGCAGCACCCTCGAGAGGAAGTAAGTGGTGCAGCGGCCCCCACCTGGGCACCTGCCAGAAACTGTAACCAATTCTGATCCCGAAACTTCCCATTGCAGATCCCGGTTCTCGAGGGGATTCGCCTTGTTCTCCTCGGGCAGCCATTTGGCCCAGACCCAGGATCAGAAGGAGAACCAGCGCGGCGAGCAGGTGCCCGTCTGCAACGACTGCCAAGGCCTCGTCAACGAGATCACCAGCTCTGTAAAGCAGAAGCGCAGCTCTGCGAGGAACCGCACCATTCAGAATCTCACCCTAGATCTGACGCCAGTCTGGAAATAAGCTCCGATTGGCCCAGACAGATCCACACCCTTCAGTGCGTTTCAAGACTATAGGACACTGACTGTAGGAATCTATCCATTTCGAAATGGTATCTGCCAGTTCGACAACTGAGAGACATATTCTTCGAGAATACCCGAAAACCAATTGCTTAATTTATTCGATGACGGACCACGGACCTTATTTGATGACTGACTCTACACCAGAACTGTCTGAAGTCGATATATTTTCAATATTCTCGGCATTAACTGAGCCTTTTACGTGTTTTATGGGACTGGAACGCACTTAACGCACTGCGGAAGATACATGCATACATACATACGTGCATATTTATGGATTATGGATTATATGGACTGTTGTACACATTGAAAGATAGAGCCTCGAGGAGACGCCCTCCTGCCCTTGTAAATCGTGTTAGTTTAGTGAATAAGCAAAGGAGAGAACGAACATTCCTGGCTGAAGCTTTGTACATTTTCTGCCGGCTACAGAGAGATGATCCGCTTGAGCGCACGCGCACCCCACCACATACGATACGAGTATATACATACATGCATACATATAACGACAACTAACTCTATACTATACATAATACCACATACAATACCACTCCACACTATATTAGCGCAGTACAATGCCGTTGTTTGTAAATGTTTAATTTATACGTAAATGTTGATTAAGTATATACTCATAGCTCATACTAGCTCCTGTAAGTACCTATGTACGATCCGTATGTAACCCGCAATAGTATCTCCGGCTTGTGCTCTCGATTTATCAAGAGATTGAAATGATTTTGAAATGATCCCCAGTTCGAAGACATGATTTTGGATATTGTTAAGATAATGTTGTGAAATGTTTGTGCTTGCGCAGATCGAATTCTTGTTTCCTTGTGAAATTCTCGTTGTTCCCCAGTCTGATGTCCACCTACAACGTCAATGTATAACGCAAGATAACTCCGAGTTGATAGCCTAATTTAATTTTAGTCTTTGTTGCAATGCAACCCATACTATTTAGTTAATTGATCGCATAGTTTTAATTTCCGCCTACCATCTAAGCGACGCGACCGTTCATATTGTACAAGCTGCGATGCAAAGCAACACCCTAACGAAATCATTAATTATTGTATACCTATACCTATCGTAGCCCCATAATACTGAAGTTCTAGTGAACGAACAAGTTTGATTTTTTTTTGCCCCCTATTTGTAAACGCATTTAAACGTATTTGTAATTTACGAGAGTTAATCTTACACTTTTAATGCTTTTAAGTTGAATTATTTTGCTTTGATTTATAACAAAAACACCACAAAGAGAACGGAAATACACTAAAACGCAATGAAACACTTAAATAAAATGTAATTAAAAATACGTACGAGCAAGTGTGCAATTCGGGATTGACTGGGTCAGGGGACTTGTTTGGTCCAGGACTCACTTTCTTTCTTTATTTGTGGCTTCCTTTTTTGGGGCAAAGTATGAAATCGTTGTAAGTTTAAGTAAAATAAATTAGAGTTCATCTCGTAATAATGATATCAAACCAAACATACTCTTCAGAGATACTTTCTGTATATTATCCTACGGTTATCTTCGGAAACTATAGCAAAACGTACAGTGTACAGTAGTACGTACACTTAAGAGCTTACAGCTAAGTCAACTAGATCTACGGAGTAACACGTTTGCAAAGTCTAGAACGGGCTGGCCGAAGGGAGGCGTGCCCAGGTCCTACTCTGCACGAGACTTCTTGCCCTGTCGGTTGTCGTTGCCGCCGTGGCGCTTGCGGCCGAAGCGCTTGTTCTTGTTACGGCTGAAGTCGCGGCGCTTCTTCATGAACTCCACGGCCTTGTCCAGGAACGTCTTTTCCTCATCCTCGGTGGCCTTGCGGAGGGTCAGGGTGACTTCATCGTTAAACTTGAGCTGGAAAAGAATCTGGAGTTAGCGGGAGACTTTCAATACAAATAGCAGACAACTCACCTTGCCCTCCTCCACCTTGGAAATGTATTTCTCAGCCGCGTCGGCTTCGGTGAGGCGCACCGAACCCTTGGTGTCGCCCTTGTTGAACTCAATGTAGGCGATGTCGAAATCCTTCACCTTTTCAAAGGCCTCGCGTATCTCCTCACGGGACACAGTCTCCGGAGCCCCCTCGAAGACAACTATGGCGTTCTTGGGCAGCTCAATGGCGGGCTCGGCCTTAGCCTCCTTCTTTTTCTGTTTCTTTTCGCTCTTCTGTTGATATTCCTCCTGCTTTTCCTTTAGGTAGTCGATCTGCCACTTGCGGAGAAGCTCGCGCTCCTTGTAGAGAACTTTATTGTCCTTCTCCAGAAATGCCTTGGCCTGCTCCTTGGTCTCGAAGGTGAGGAAAATGCTGCCCTTGAACTTGTAGGACTTGGTGGGCTTGTCGTAGTGCTTGCGCATGGTAATGTTGACCACCTTCTCGTACGAGGCAAAGAAGTCGAGCAGCTCGCTCATCAGCGTGTCCAGGGGGAAGCCCTTGGCGTAGGCAGTTCGCTCCTGGATCTCCTTGCGCCGCTCCTCGTTGTGCTCTGGGATGGGACGCTCGGGGTGGCGACGCAGCTTCTGCTTGTCCTCGCTGATCTGGACCAGGCCCTCGTCGGACTTGTTCAGGGCTCCGATGATCTCATCGAAGTCGGTAGAGAGTGTGGCCAGGCGCTTGAATGTGACCAGCACTGTGAGGGGCACCCACCCATCCTCGTTCTTGGATATCTGCTCGCGCAGGAACTTGTCGCGATTCAGGTTGGCGTCCCCGAAGTAATACTCTACCTGCCGGATAACGGCGCGCTCTTGCTTGGAGAAGTCTCCGTCAGCCACTGAAACCGGCTCTTCCTTGGTAGTGCCGTTCTTGGCTTCAGGCTCCTCGGCTGCGACTTTCTCGTCTTTGGTCTCCTCCACGACCTGCTCCTTAACCTCGGGGGCGGTAGTTTCTGCAACGTCGGCCATTATATATGTGAATATTTGTCGGACAAATAAAACTTGAACGTGCGTGCGGAAAACACGTGTGTGGAGGGTGAGGAATCTTGTCGTTAGCCAGCACTAGAAGTCGAAAGACATTCGATATATAAATGGGACCTATCGACTAAACTCAATTTTGAGCGCAATGCTCATTTTAGCGTTTCGATAGGCCCCACTTTAGATGTGGACGATTTGGGAGATTCAATAAGGACATTTATCCAGATGTGATAGTATCTATTACGTCCATTTATAGAAAAGCTTTTGTGATAGTCGGTTTTGTTTTTTATTTCTATTTACGTTGCGATACATCGGCAGCACTATCGATATATAGATTACCTGTTGTAGTATGGAAACGATATATTGATAGGCGACTGCAGCTGGGCAGCCTAGAGCTGTCAAACGATTGATAGTTGAGCCATCGATTGTTTTGAATGTTTTGAAAAAAAAACAATCGATACTATCGTGATAGTATCCGGGGCTCAAATAATTTTTCAAAAACCATTGAAGCCTTTTAGGAACTTGTCCATTGTAAAAATTATATTAGATTAGAAATTATCGAGCTACAGTCGTTGCGCTTTTGATATGTTTGGATTGGTGGCAGTCGATTTGTTTACAAATGTGTCTTCGTATTTTATAGCAGCCAATCCAAACATATCAATAGCGCAACGACTGTAACTCGATACTATCATTATAGTCGCAAAACCGTGGATAGTAGAGGCTAGCAGTAAAATATCGATACTATCGATAGTGCCCTCGATGGTTTGACACCTCTATTGTAAATGATGCACACAAAAAGTACATAATAAGTTGAAAGTGATAATGTAGACGTTAATAGATCGACCACAAATGTATGCACGTTATCAGCGCGTATCATCGAACTCTTGTGTTTGGAGTTTTCTTCGAAATTGAATATCGGGCAGTTTCTGTCTTAATACTTGAATGTAGTGCGAAGAGTGTGTTTTATTTAGTATATTACTAATTGTGTATATAATTAAAAGCGCGCTGGGGCCAGCGAAAAGTGACAAAAGTGGTAGAAAGGTGGGAGAAGCCGAAGGCCCCCATTACTCATTCTCTATTTTTGCTGCGAAACGACAAGCAAAACGAAATCCGAATCAGCAACAAAAAACGCAACAAATGATTGTTACAAATAAGCAGAGTTGAAGGTGAGTCGATGCAGAGGGCCAGACAGTTTGGCCTGAAGCGCGCCCTAAAGATGACTCAGGTTTTCCTACGACTATTCCGCAGCCAGAGTTCAGTGGCATCAACAGAACCGAACACTTCACAGCAAGCCTCATTCCCCCACCCACCCGTTGATGCGTCAGCGGGGCTGCATGCAACTAAAGAAACAATCTCGAGACTCTTCGGGAAGAAGTAACATTCCCGGTCCGCTCTCTACCTCCTCATGCAAGTGTAATTTAGTGCCGGCTCAGGGGTCCAGTGCGCCGTCTCGTGGAGGTTGCAGGTCACAGAGGTTGAAGTGTCCCGCCATTTATGCTGCATAATCCATTGGGTCAATAGCAGGCGCCGCCGCTCTCTAGCATCCGTGCCTCCCCAGCTATTTTTCCCTCCTTAGTGGAAGAGCAGAGGTGGGACAGTGTTTGTTTGCTTGTTCCCCTGCCTGGTATCCCAATACTTGCATACATACATATGTATGTATGTACATATATATCTTCTTGCGGTGCCCTCGCCTCAGGCTAGTCGCCTGCACGGCAAGATGAGGAGGAGACGTAGACGGAGAAGCAGGCAATTGTTCGGCACACTTCAAAACCCCGAACAAGAGAGAACCATTACCATCAGTCGCCCCGACCGAATTTTGAACGGTTGCCAAAATTCTGTCAAAGGCAAATTTCAAACAAATGCACATTCGCCCCTCTACTGTGTATCATGCAATAAAGAGGTTTCAAGACAGGTTCAAAGAAAATACCAGCTGAATTATAATTCAGAAAAAAATAGTTTGAGTTGTGTTTTCTTTGCCAGACTCCAAAGATTATATTGCATGTTACGAATTCAGGGTACAAAACAGTCGAAACGAAACCATCATCCCTCTTCTCATTCGGCCTTATTATTGTTATTTTTGCGCTCTAATGAAAGCGATTCGTGAATGATATGAGTTTGTATTTGAACAAAAAGTCATGCGCTTGATTTTCATTCGGGAATGCCTGAGAACAGCGCTGCTTCATGGTTCCGGTTGCTGTTGACCTCATTTTCCCCATGGCATTGGCAATACGACGTACAAACTCTGAAAGAGAGAACTTCAAAGTCCAATCAAATCAAATTATGAACTCCCTCGCCCACGCACACCTCTTTCGAGAACCGAATCCTCCCACTGGCAAGCGGCAACTCCAACTGAAGATATCTATAAATACGGCGGAGCAATCAAATTATATTATGTCTATATACTGTTGCACATCCAAAGCGCGGGCCAAATGCATCTCAAGTGGGACCCCTCAGGCCTGTTGTAAATCTCAGTATTGACACATTGAAGGGGATTGGATTCGAAAGGCGGATACGCCGAGTGTATGGACAGATGGATGGATTGAAGTTTGGGGTGGGGAGGGAAGGGAAGGGAAACTAGCCCTGACAAGATCTCGCCGGCTGTAGAACTGCATCAATTTGGTTTGTCTTTGTTTTCCTTTCTATGACTTTGCGCGAGAACAAACAAAGAAAACAAAAACAAAAAATAAATAACAAATCTACTTTCGGCGTTGTTTACGCTCTCTGTGGCACAACAGAAATACACATCGTGAGATCTCATAGGTATTCCCCTGCTCTCGCACTGATTCCTCGTCGAATTGCGCATTTCCGGAAGCCGCTACGGCTATGCATACATACATACATATGTATGCTACACATGCATTTGACTTCTGCCTTCGGTGACAGATCGTTAATATCCGAATGAGTCCATCATGTCGTAGGTATTATATTTAGAGAGCGTGGGCTCAACATACACATACTCGTACACGTACACGTATCTGTGCTTTGGATGACATTGCTGCGTCGGCGCCATGTGCAAGTTTAATGAATTAATTAAAATTTTGTGCGGTTGCAGCTTGTCTCTTGCCTCTTGCCTCCCTCATGCTCCCTGCTACAGATAGTCGGAGAGGCGGCATCGCATCTGTTCTCCAATGCGTCCTCTACTTGCATCATTAGGGGACGTATTCAGGTGCTATAGCAGCAGCTACAGCTACAGCCACGGCTGCCACCTACGGAAATTTGATTATTGTCGGCCACGGACTTAAGCGGCTTCAGGGTTGCCATCAGGGGAAGTCGCACAGCCAATTCTATGTTTCGTTTATCTGTGCATCCAGTACATAGTCAATAGAGACCCCTCCCCCATATACGATCCACAGTGATCCCATTTGACTCGTACATAGATTTAATTCGAGTAAAGATTCACGTCCTACGAGTCTCGCAATAACAACGTCCCACTTATCAGCTTATCAGCCATACATCTTCCGAAGTGAGCGGAACAGGTGAATCCTTCCGTATATCATATACAATATGTAGGTATGTATGCACACGCTCTCAATCGATTACTGAACCCATAAACATAGAACAAATGCCATGATTCCTACGCGAAATATTTAAATGGGTTTTTTAAAAACAGACGAAAAACAGAAGCACGACGGGGAACGACGGTCTACATTTCTCAATGAAACAAAATTAAAATATAGAGTGATCCCCATTTTGGAATTTCGAATGGGGAGACTGGGGAGCCTGTGGCGGTGGAGGTGGCTGTGACTGTCCCCTGGCCAAGTTCCCATATTGTCATATCTGTGTTGATTTTTCAAGAAAAAATGCGCTCTATCCGCCCGAGATCAGATATATTGTATGAAAAACATTCATATGTATGTATGTACGTATATGTATGTATGTATGTATGTATGTTTCTCTTACGCGATCCTATATTATAACTACAGAGAGAACCAGAGAAATAGAACGAGAAACAGAGAGTGAGAGTGATGTCTAGGAGGGAAAACCGTGAAAATTCGGCTGCTATTTGTCGCCAGTTTTCCGTATTTCGTGGTCCGCAGCAGTTTCGCTGAAGCAATGAACGCGTGCGGTGCATCGTCTGAGAGCAACGGCAACGGCGGAAAACGACGAATTTTCGTACAACAATTCATTGTTAAACAAGTATATATTGTATTCTCTGAAATTCTGTATAATCGTAAGAGTGCGAGTGTTGTGTAGCCAAGTGGCCGGCCGAAAAGCCACAACCTGAAGGCATTTTCATGCGTGTGTGCAACCAAAACGTGACCTTGCCTGAGAGAAATATTCTCAGACAGAATTCCGAGGAAAATCGTCTGATTAATCTTGACAACTTTCGCCAAAAGGAAGGCCCATGGCTCTCTCGGGAACTGTAATGGAACTTGTCGTTTGGTCAAACTGTTTGAAAGTCTCGGAGAACGTATGTATGTATTTACATACCCTCAGATATCTTTCGATATCTCGATATAGCCGCATTCCCATTCCCATTTGCCATATGGGAGGGAGTCGAGTCGTCAAGATTTATATATAGTTTCGTCGGTTTTTTATTTTTAGTAGGCAAGCCGACAAAAAATAAAATATCATTTTGGGCAAAATATAAACATGTTTTTCATATTTTTCATATTTTTGCGTTTACTCATTGCAGAATAATAACAAGAATGTGATTAATCTATTTACGTATATGTACTTATGTACTTATGTATGTATATGTTTGATACAGAAAGTATACACAAAGTGATCCAATTATGTATAATTTGTATATAGTATAATCTATCCCTTGGTCAGAGACCTCCAATTTCCAGATACATTATTTGTCAATGTATAGAATTGCTTCTAAATGCGATGAATCATTCGTGGTATAGTATAGTAGGGCATAAATTATTTATTTATTTATTTAATTAATAAGTCGAGGTATGTTCAGCTAAGTAGGTAGACGTAGCATTGCAAAGGGTTCGCGATACATACTCGTGCATATGTATGTAGCTGCATAGATGGAATATGTTAATGTCAGTTGAAGAGCGATTGCAAGGACAGAGAATATGGCGGTGCAAAAGCAGCTTTGAAGGGCGAGATAAACCACGAAAGAAAAGTACAGCGCTTATACTCGTACTGCTGCCTAGTGTAAGAATCTAACAATGTTTCGGTACAGTGGGAAGTGCAACGATCGAACAACAATAGAAAATTACTTAATGCTCAGCCTCATTGGGTATAAATTCATGATTCAATATCGGACTGCCTGACCCGACACGTGTGTTATAAATATATCTGGATATACACATAAAATGTGGAAAATATCAGTGCCTATAAGACTTCAATACTAGCACAAAACAGCCCTCGAAATGCTACGAGCTGCGAGTATGATGCAAATATAACCTTGGAACACATATAAAAAAAATGTCAATCTCTTCAGGCTTAAGACATTTGATTATTTCTATCGCTGGCTATGTGACCATCTATTCGGGTAGATACATACATACATATGTAGATAGGTAAACCTGCATAGTAAATCTTCATTATGTATTTGTTTCTCCTGCGAAACCACTTCCTCTCGGAGAGAACCGTCTGACATTTAAGTTTTACGATATCCATAAAAATCCTTCGATTCACAATTTACGATATTCTGCTTGTCCGAAATCGCATGCTGATCACTTAAAGTAATGTTCGAACAACCCATAAAGAATGGGCGCGTAAACATTTTCGTACACGACACGGTCGCTGTTTATGATTTATATGTTCTCCGCTTCCCGTTCTGCAGATTGTTTTTATTGGCCCAAAAAATGTTCTGATTTCGTAATCTCTGTGAGGGATTTTATTGTTAAGAACATCTTCCACTTTTGTTCCAATTTTCCAATGGCTGCTGGCTGCTGGCTTTGGCTTTGGCTCTGACCTTGGCCGTCGTGTACCGCGCACGAGTTCTCCAGACACTTGCAGCATGCCATGCGGAGAGGGGAGGGAGGCGCTACAAAAATGTCAAGAGTCTTGCGCACGCCTTTTCCCGGCGAAAGCAACAGATGTTTCAGAAATGTTTTCTTTTGGGGCCATTTCAATGTTTAGATAGCGCTGAAACCAATGGAATCTCTTAACGATCCACGATGATGAGAGTATGAAATCAATTTGAAATGCTGCGTAGGTGCCGGCGAAAAGTTTGTGGACAGACAGACATGTGGACATTTTTATATGGATACATCTCAGTGCTCACAGATGGTCAATGGATGGCCATTCATTGAACGAATTGCTTGATTTTGATGATTTTTCAAGTTCAGCAACTAAACCGAACTGAACCGAACCGTCTCCTCCTGTTTTCCCCTCGTTTCAGCTTAAGCAATCCAGTGCAGACCCAGAGAGCCAACCTTGAAGAGCAGAGAGCCGAAGATGGAGCATCCACTGGTAGTGCAGGCCGAGTACTCCTTCATGGGCAGCAACAACGACGAGCTGTGCTTCAAGAAGGGCGATGTCATCACAGTCACCCAGCGCGAGGACGGCGGCTGGTGGGAGGGCACACTGAACGACAAGACTGGCTGGTTTCCCAGCAACTACGTGAACGAGTGCAAGGCCCAGCTGCCACTGGCCGAGACCATACGTCCTCCGGAGGAGATACAGGAGTATCGCTCGGTGGTGCTCAAGGACCTGCTCGACTCGGAGCGTGCCCATGTGGCGGAACTGCAGGGTCTGCTCGAGAACTTCCTGGAGCCCATGCAACAGACGCAGATGTACGTCCTTCCTCCCAAAGTGATCCTTTATTTACGCCTTGCTTCTCCTTTCAGTCTCAACCAAGACGAGTACGCCCAGCTGATGTGCAACTTTGTGGAGATTGTGAGGACACATGAGGAGCTGCTCATACAGATCGAGGAGTGCAACGACCGCGTGGGCAAGCTGTTCCTCACCAGCGCCCCCCTCATGAAGAAGGTCCACCAGGCCTACTGTGCAGCCCATCCCAAAGCCATAGTCATATTGGACAAGTACAAGTGAGTGGATCCCAATTTGTCAACATTGTCATAGATACATATGAATGTACAAATCTATGGATATTGCTAACAGGGACGACCTGGAGAAGTACATGGAACGTCAGGGGGCGGCCACTCCAGGCCTACTGGTGCTCACCACGGGCCTCTCGAAGCCCTTCCGGCGGCTGGACAAGTACTCGGCCATGCTGCAGGAGCTGGAGCGGCACATGGAGAGCAGCCACCCCGACCGGGGCGACACGCAGCGTAGTGTGGCCGTGTACAAGGACATTGCGGCCACCTGCTCGGCCACGCGTCGCCAGAAGGAGCTGGAGCTGCAGGTTCTGACAGGGCCAGTGCGCGGCTGGCAGGGCCAGGAGCTGAGTACCCTGGGCGACATCATACACATGGGCAGCGTGGCTGTGGGCGCCGACCATCGGGACCGCTACTTTGTGCTCTTCCCCCAGACGCTGCTCATCCTGAGTGTCAGTCAGCGCATGAGCGCCTTTATCTACGAGGTGGGTATCGCTGTTCTCCGAGCTTCAGAGCCTTGTGTTAATCTGTGTTAATCTCGCAGGGCAAACTGCCGCTCACTGGCATCATCGTGCACCGCCTGGAGGACACGGACGCCATCAAGAACGCCTTCGAGATCAGCAGCCCCCTGATCGATCGCATTGTGGCGGTCTGCCAGGGACCCAGCGAGGCCAACAAGTGGGTGGAGCTGCTGAACGCCAACAACCCCAGCCTGCCGATGGGCATCAAGCGGCAGCTGAGCAACCTGAGCAACTCCTCGATGGGACAGCTGAATGCGGCGCACGTAAGTGACGAGTTATTACCGAACAAAGCTCTTGATTACCTCTTTATTTCGTACCACTCTGAACCATTATCTTGGCCACTGAGCAGCTCAGCGAGCACCTGGACTCGCGCGGCTACTGCACGCGGTTCTCGCTCTGCGCATACTACTCCAGCCCGCCCAGTGCGGCGGCCAACGCCCGACCAGTGCGCACCACGCTCCCGCCCAGCAACTATCCGCCCACGGCGCCCTATGCGAACCTCAGTGCGCACTTTGCCAAGCTGGTTAGGGCCGGAGGACTGAGGAGTGCGATTGTCAAGATGCTGCTGTATCCACAGGCTCGCCAGAGCATCGATCTCATGCGCATTGCCCTGCGCAAGAAGCGCTGCCACAAGGCGGCTGCCAAGCTCAAGGATCTCAATGAACACGGGGGGGAGTCTGGGCAGTCGGAGCTGGAGCGGCAGGACGCCATTGAGTTGCCCACAGACTCGGAGAGCTATGAGGATGACGAGTTCGATGACGAGTACCTTCATTCCTGCGACTCGGATCCGTTCGAATACGTTCAGTTTTACCAGAACAAGAGGAGCGATTCCCTATGCAACTCCACTGGCACTTTTGTGGACCATGGCGGATGTCCAGGGACGTCCAGGAGACACTGTTCGTCCATCAATCTCATCAAGCTGGATTCCCTTGATGCCCAGGAGGTTCTGGCCCAGAACGAGCTGAAAAAGGAGTCGCTCATCATTGGATCCAGGGCTCTGCGGGCACTGGCTCGCAAATCGTTGAGTCGGAATTCCAGCGTTCACACTTCCACGGCCACCCTGGAGCTGGGTGCCGGCGGCAGCATCACGAGCTGTGTCGAGGAGGAGCCACTGAAATCGTTCACCCTTCAGCAGCAGAGCTCCGATGCCAGTTCCATGTATGGAGCCCGCCTGGGCGGGGCGTTTACTGCGTGCGAGAACCTGGCCAGCATGCCGGATGATCTCAGCCTCAACCAGGTGCAGAGGCAGAGCGAACAGGAGGCAGCCGGTTGTCCGCTTCCTGCCTCTCCAACGGAGCGGCACAGCATGCCAAGCATTTTCGTGGGCAACCGTTTCAATCTGTCGAAGAACACAGAGGTCTATGTGCCCACGTGGAGGGATCGGCAGGAGATGCAGAACCAGAGTGTAGAGGTGCAGCCGGAGGACGGAGTGCACTCCAGCTCACTGGATCTTCCCGCCGCCTGTCGCACCGCCCCTGACAAGCTGCAGGCGGAGCTGCTCTACAACTACGACGAGGCCCTGGCTTCCCTGGAGAATCCGCTGCAGCTGCAGCGCGAAACCTTGCCCTTCCAGAGTCACAACCTCAACTCGGACAAGAGGGTCTCCCACAAGAGCGACAGTCCTGCGTCAGCCAACCCTCAAAGAGAATCCAACCAGGCGGCGCGGAGCAGCTCAACGACCGAGCTGTGCATTGAGACCGCCTCCAAAAAGCGCCAGCCCGACCCAGAGCGCAGCAGGGACTCCATTAGGCGCTGCATAAGCTATCAGTTTCTGCAGATGTCCAACCGACCTCCGCCGCCGAACCCGCCTCGTCGGGATCCAGATCTCCACCTGCACTCGAAGTGCCGCTGCTGCGAGAGCTCCCAGTGCCCCAGTCCGCGCTCCAGTGACAGCGGAATGGCTGGAAGCTGCACCATAGCCTCGCCGGACCCCCCCAATCCCGAGTCCTATTTTCCAATGTCCCCCATTGGCCAGGATGTCCCTGACAGCAGCGAGTCCGAGCGCTTTGATGTGTGTGGCATGTTCCGGGAGAAGTTTCTGACGCCAGAGGCCACGCAGGAAGAGGCGGAGCCAGCCGACGAGCTGGCAGAAGAGCCGACCACTCCCACGAACCGAAAGGCACCCCAGGAAGAGGCTTGTGTGGTCAGCTCACCGCAGATTCAAGTGAATGCCAGGAGTATTTGGTTGCCCTGCAGCTCCAGCATGGACGAGACCAAAGGGACGAAAACCACTACGGCAAATGATCCCCTCATCAGCTCCAGCTCAGTGGGGGAGCTGGACACGGAACCACGCGCCACCTTTCGCTCTGGGATGTACGCGCACTGGTGGAAGAAGGAGCGGCTGCCGCCGGAGGTGGTGCGAGGCATAGCTCACGCCTACAACAAGAGTCTGCCGTCGGTGCATGACAGCAAGGACTCCAAGGACTCGGGATCTGTGTGCTCCAGCTGCTTCTGCTCCCTGGGAGCCAGCGGATACAGCGAGGGCGCCCTCTACTGCTCCGTGTGCCAGAATTGCGTGGACTTCTATAACGGGAGCACCACCAGCACCACCAACACCACCACCACGACAGCCTCGGCCTCCTCTGGCTGTCCCCTGTGCAGCGAGGATGAGGCAGCGACCAGCTGCACGTCGACCCGCCTGTCCGCCGCTCGCCGGGCCTATGCCAGCGAGCCGGCCTACTCCTCCTCGCTCGACTGTCCCATTTGTGCAGCGCGCGTGTCTTTGGCGGGCGAAGAAGGCAAGCAAACCGAAATGTGTTGCCTTCCAGGTCGCCCGGAGACTCGTCTCAGTCCGAGATGGAGACTCGTGGGGCCTCCTGGTCGGCGGGCGTTTGTGCACGTGTTCCGTTTGATTGTTTTGTAAATTCGTTTTGCTCTCTCATGTCCTCCACACTCAAATCCTAATGCTCGAACCAGCAAAACCATTTGCAAAAATGCAGCACGTCCAAAAGTTACGATCGCATCCACACAATGCCAATGCTTCCTCATCATCACATCCTTGACTAACCCGTGTATGGCCCGAAACGAGTTTCTTGTTCGCATAGAAGGTTTTTGGATCTTGGATCTTGGATAATCCATACGGTTCTATGGAAATCTGTGAATGATCGAAGTTTGGAGAAGAGAACCTCGTCTGGGGCCATCCTTCTCGTCCACTAATCAGTCCAGAAATTCCCTGCAGAAATTTTGTTACTTTTTGGCGTTGTTTTCGCATTGAGGTTCCATCTTTGTAGCCAAACGAATTACAAAACATTTATCTAACGCTCAGCACCACAAAGATCCACAAATTCTAAAAGAGAAAACGCATTCGATTCGATTTGCTTGCTGCGCTTTGCTCGCTGCAGCCTCAGGACTGCTTGCCGCCTGTACGTTGTTCTTGTTATTGCAGCCGCCAAGAGGAATCCTCTGTTTATCGTTGAGTATTCATGAGGTCTTTTTTTAATTTGTTGCAGATGTCGCCGCCATCGAGCCACAGCCTGCTGCTGCCTCCACAGCCAAGCGGCCGGCAGCAGGCGCAGCCAGTTCCGCTAGGCATCGGGAGCGCGAACAGCAGCGCGGGCAACAGTCTGCAGGGATCCCCAGCCGCCAACTCGATGTCACAACACAAACGGAGCCAGTCCTTCAACCACCATCTGAGCTACAACCAGTACACGCACACTCAGCCTCCACCACATCTTCTGCATCCGCCACAACCACCAAGTCTACCAAGTCATCTGGGGGCGGCCGGCCACAGATCAAGTTCAGCCCAGACACCAAGCAGCAAGACAGCCCCAGCACCAGCGCCACCCATGGACGGCAGCCCGGCGGCACTGCAGGCAGCAGCAGCAGCGGGAGCAACGGGGGGGCCAAGCGCAAGGAAAGGAAGCACAAAGGGTGAGCCAGTCAGCACATCCCAAATAACCCTTTTCGCTAATGTGTCCCGTGTGCGAATCCTCAGCTAACTGGACCATCAGCTGTTTGCGTCCTACGCCGCCGCTGCGCCCCAGTTTGTTGAATGCCGCTAGCGGAGGAGGCGGTGGCAGTGGCGGCGGTGGCGGTGGCGGCAGCAGCAGTTCCTCCAACGCCCTTGCCAGCTACTGCAGCGGTCGAAAGAACCAGCCCACCTACGAGGAGGATGCCCTGGTGCTGCGCGTCTTTGAGGCCTACTGTGCCGCCTACCAGAACAGCGCCAGGAACACCATACACTCGGGTAAGTGGCGCAGGCCGCCGAACATGTGCCTCATATAGTAGCATACAGCTGTAGGCTTTGTAAACATTTCCGTGTTGTGCCATGAACTCCCAAATAATTGAATTGAACATCATTTGCTGAATATAGCAAAATTCAAAATAATTATAAAACTGCTAATTATTTATACTTATCACACACACACACACAAACACACACACACATACACACTCACTTAAATGTCCTTAAATGGCTTAAAATATCGTTTCCATTTTGCTGGCTTAGTCGTTTATGATTTCATGATTTATTTCCCTTTTAACCACCAAGAAACAACAAATTTATCCACTAAACCACGAAGAGTTTTCCAAATTGAAGCGATAATTGTATTAGGCTTAGGCGAAAGTTTACTTTTAAGCTCAGAAATTGTTAATCGAACCTAACATTTAAGAGAGATTATTAATTTGTAATTTTTAGTTGAAGAATTGGCAATTAATGTTTCGTTTTAAGCTACTGTGTGGAGGGAGATACTGCCCAGCCATTGGTGCTAAGCGCGAGAAAAGGAACCAACGTTTTTGTTACATGTATCTCTGATACTCGTATTTTGTATTTTGTATTGCAATATTCTGTTGTACAGTCTTGAATTTGATTTATTTTGTTTTATTCCCACATTGAATAAATACTGTTTCTGTTTTTATCCCATTACCTATGTAAAACCTAGTTTAATTTATTTACATCTATCGCTGTTCACTCAAGCAACCCCCCCACCCCCAACACACCATTCCAGTATCCACCATTCCATCACTTAGCCGCACATTATCTACTATATATCCGTACAGCTAGGGTCTTTGGTTTAATATTCTTTGGAGAGACTGAACCCACACACACTAACTGCCATTAATGGTTTTAGAGTTCATACTTCCCTCTGTTCTGTTGCCATCCCCCCCCACCCGGTATCTGGTTCTCTCCTGGTTCGGTCTCCTCCTCCTTCTCCTTCTCCATCTCCATCTCCATACACAATCCCTCATCTTAAATCCCACAGCCCACATCCAACTTATGCTTTCCTCACTCTACGTATGTATGTATGTATGTTGCTGTTGTCTCCCTTGGCGTTGTAAATTGTGCTCCCCCTTTTTGGGTTCTTTTCATTTGTGTTTAGTTTTTGGGTTTTGGTTCTGCGTCCTTCCTGTTGTCGCTGTTGGTATTTCGTTTTTCCGTTTCTTCAAATATCTTCATTTTTCTCTCTCTCTTTCCAACAACTCCTCAACCGAACCAAACCGAACCGAATCGAACTGAACTGAATGCCTCCGACTCCGCCTCTGCCTCCGCCTCTGTAGTCTTGCAACCCTGGACTCCGTGCCTGCCCATTCGCGGCGGCAAGCTGAAAACGAGCAAGACCTTCTCGACCTCCAATCCTCAGCTGCCTTTCATAGCCAATGCCACCTACCTCAACCAGGCACAGCAGCAGCAGCACCACCACCACCAGCAGCAGCAACACCATCAACAGCAACAGCAACAGAACCGACAGCACTCGGCGGGAAGCCTGAACTCCTCGTTCATTTGGAGAGAGGCCAGCCCAAACAACTTCAACCTGTACTCCAGTTCGGTGTCCTCCTCGTTGAATGCGGCCCCTGGGCAGCGCTACTCTATCACAGGGGCGGGCGGAGGTTCGCCCTCGATCAAGGACTACCAGCGAGCGCTGTCCGAGGAGCGGGCCACCAGGAAGTCCCTGAACCGCCTCAAGAGCGGCTTCGGTTCTGGCTACGACAACGTATGCACTTCGCCCTTGTTGCCTAGGAAAAACAAGCCCGCCCCTAAGCTAGTAGCCCAGCAAACGTATCAGAGATCGGGCGCCACCACCATTGTGAAGCCGAATCCCGATGGAACCGCTGCCCATCCCGGACTCTACGACCGCCGGCTGAACAGATCCTTCGAGACCTCCACATCCCACCGCTATGCCGGCTATGGAGCTGGCTACCTGTTGAATTGCGGCGGTGCCCTTCGCACCAGCACCCTCCAGCGGAGCACGCCCCAGCTGGCCGGAGCCGAGCGGTCGGACGACAGCGATGTGGAGCGCGGGGACCACGGATGTGCCTCCCTGCTGCGCAATGGAGCGGGTCCGGCGTCCCTGGAGCTGAACTCTGACGGTACCAAGCGGCAGTCGGGCAGCTGGTGTTGCGGTAATTTTGTGATGAAGCAGTGGCGCAAGATCAACCATCTCTGAGTCTGTCTGGGTGTGGTCGGGGCATGCATCAGCCTCATCAATCATCTGCATCAGCATTCGCATCCCGCATTGCCGCCGCCTGCTCCAGCTGCTGCTCCAGCTTTGCTTTGAATGCGCTCTGTGTGCGATTATTGAAGAATACTTAATTATTTTTAGTTGATTTCTGGCTGCTCAACGCTTTCAATGCCAAAAGCCTTAACCTTAGATCGTAATTTATTGAGCATCCGGACAACTAGTTTGTACAAAATCAGACAAATAATTCGTGAGAGACAAGAGGAGGCTCCTCATCACTTGACCAAATGTTTGTACAAATTATTTGCCAGTCCTAGCCTAGCCATAAGCGCCGCCTTGTTGTGTCTATATTTTTACTTACGAGTAGAGTTGTTTGTCTGTGTGTTTGCCATAGCTGATATTGACCTGTACTATGTATCCTATGTATGTAGTATGTAGTTGGGTGCAACGCGTAACCGTTTGCCTCCGTGACAAGACTAAGCGAGAGAGAGACTAGCTCTTTGATGCTATCCATTTGTGTTGATGCTGTAAGCGAAGAAGGTACTTGCCCGCATAGCAGGCACTTGAAGTGCAACAGCAACTGCAGCAGGTTCCTGGATTCTGGCTTCTGGCTTCTGGCCTCTGGCTCCCCCAACTATAAACGATACGGTTTAGTTCCGCCGCAAAGGGGAGGCTGCACAGAAAGGCTTTAAATATCCGTCCTCGGCTTTACACCCTATATTTTGTACGGCCATGCGAAAAGGGCACACGCTCTGCTATAGATCCATAAGTACTATATTTGAGTAGAATATCCTTTGCCATAGCGTGACTACTTTATACAACTATAATCCATAAACGACTCGTATACTCGTAATCGTATTTGTGTTTGTGCCCAGCTATACACATGTATTACTATTAGTACTCGTTGCCTGCCTAGCATACTCGTAGAGTATGGAAACGCAGCAAGAGATCGAAATCGAATCACAGAACGTGCAATGTGTAATCAAAGGCGCAGAGATGTGAGCCCTGTGCCGAGTCAAGTCTCTTAGCCATAGCTAAGACCAGCAACTAAATCAAAGTAACCTACTGTTGTGCATTATTAAACGAGGGAAACCCCAGCGTATTTGTAAGTGTTTTGTGAAAACGTTGTCTAACCAAATGAACTACCTTATTGTATAATCTACTATTAATCAGTTTATACGTTTGTATTGTATTTGAATTGAATTGCTGTTAGTCGAGAGGCGAGAGATGGTTCAAACAAACGAAGCGAACTATGAATAAATTCCTTTACAAGACGCATCTCCCTTTGTTTGTCTGTGTGGCTGTGTGCTATTCATTAATATTTACACTTAGTATATAGAAAAACAGAATATGCTATAATGTGATGTATTATAGTTAGAATGGATCTAGATCCGATTGTTGCAACGCAGGGGTCAAGCTTTGAGCTGTGGATCCAGAATATCGGACTACATACCACTATTTACGATTATTCATAAGCACTTTCTTAATTTTTGTGATGTGATAGCCTACAGTTATGATTTATGCATATACATTACAGACATCTGTTGTACACACTTGAACGTATCACTCTTCTCCCCTCCTTCCATGTCACATTACTCGATCCTCAACCAATCACACAACACTAACATATTTTGTTCTTTATTCTTTTATCCACCTGAAATTCAAATCCAATCCCACAACCGAGCAGGCCTTGAGAACGAGGACATGACACCGACGTTGCGACAGCTCTGGACCGCCATCCGCCAGATGCAGCAGGACATGTCCCAGATCAAGCTACAGATCAACGAGGAGCGGGCCCTGCGCGCCGATCTCCAGCAGCTGCTCATGCAGCACCTGGAGACGAGCAGCGTGAGCAGTGGGGCCAACACCCCCAAGTGTTGACTATGCAAGTAGCATATGGATTGGATTGGTTTGGATTGGAACATCCTCCATCGACGGACGGACGGACGGACCTCCCCTCCCCCACTCCGATGAAACGAATCCCGCCGCTGCTTCCACATAGCTTTAAAACTTACATATGTATAAGAATGTTTTATTTTGCATCCCCCTGGGCAGTCGGAGAGTGTGTACCAAAAAAAAAAACAACTATCTACCAATGGACTTTGTGAATCGTATATGGATTATAATTACATATGCATATGTGTGTACCTACATATGTATATTCAATGTATATTTATTTGTGAATGGACAATACGCCAACTGCATGTGAAAACAGTGGGCAGCAGCTACTGTCAAAATATCTAGCGTACCTATGTATGTGCGTGCCTATTCTTTCAGCAATGCAATCTACTAGAGTATGTGTATGTATACTTATTTATAGACTAGAGCTAATCAGCATTAACATTGTAAGGTGCCAAGGCGACCTGCGACCTGCGCTCGGCATCGGCTTAGGTTTAGTTTTGATTTGATTTGGCTCATCCATACAAAGATCCCGATTAGTTGCTCTATGCCGCTCGTGTAAGTTATGATAGATAGTCCCAGCTTGATCTGCACTTTGAGTTTGTTCATGGCTAAATGCATGCTAGCTTGCCTAAAAATATGGAAGCTCAATGAGATAATTCTGAAAATGTGCCAATAAATTAGTATTCGAATTAAGCGAGTTCTGACACAACGCTCAACAGAAGTTGTATTTACATATTATACATACATACATATATAGAACATTTACTGAACAATATACACGAGGATAAATATAAACTGTAACTGCGTATAAATACCCGTATGACACTGTCAGGGATTGCCACATCGCGTCAGTCTTCTAACGAGGCTTACAGTCACTGAGCGCCGCGGATTGTAATCAGATTGTAATCGGAACCCACATACTATAAACAGCAAAGAAACGGAAACTAAGTAAACCAAATCAGAAGAATGGCAATGATTTAACAAGTGTAAAACAATGTGTGCCTGCTGCAGCTTCTTTGACAATTTTACTGCATAATTCGGAATGCTTTCAGGTTTTCTGCTCTGCTTCCTCCATCTCCGACTACTGTCTGCTGACTGTGTGGAGGTCCATGTCGGACTGCTGACGAACATAATGAGATTGCAATCACTCAGCGGCAACGGTTGAGGCAGATGGCGACAAATGAACAGCAAGCGTTAGACAAGACCAACACAATGCTGGCGAAACAAATTCAGTATGTCAGTAAGGATTTGAGAACAATGCAAGCGCTAGTTGGTCTGTCTGTTTGGCTGGCTGGCTGGCTGGCTGGCTGATCGGCTTGGAATGTGTCACTTCCACTTCCTGGGGCCGTGGAACTTGGGCGTGAAGAAACTTTGGACTCGCCTTGCCTTGCCCTGCCCTCTGTGTTGTGCTGAGTTGTGTTGTGGCTGCGTCGTGCGGCAACGGATGTGAATACTTGCGGAAGTTTTCGCATGCAATCTGCACAGACCGCCCTTCCTTCCCAGTGGCATTTGCAGACCCTCCTCCAGCCCTCGGCCTGTTAGCAAGACTTATTGCAGCTGCTTAGCCAAATGGTTGGAGATGGAGATGGTGATGGTGGCCCCCGTGGGTCTGGGCTTTAATGACGATCATTAGCGCTGCACTGCTATCTGGCTTCATATTTTCCAACTATTAAATTATTAGTAATTAGCAATTAGTACTTACTTGGTGATTACCTAGGCCTACACGCAGAGAGCGAAGGGGTGCATTTGATGGTTCGCTCTTACCAGATGAGAAATTCTTAAGTCTACGGCCAGCTTAAACACACATCAAAACCGTATTGCTTCTGAAAACTTGAAACAAATTTAATTATTTATTTTTATAGCATGTTTTTCTCAGCGTGTAGCAGCCCAAAGCCCAGCAATTCCGCCGCAGATCGGTCCTCAGTCGACTCCGTCACTCAATAGCAGTCTCAGATCCCCCACGAGGCAAAGAAAATATAACTGGCTTGCGGACTGAAATTATCGCGCTAAGTCCCAGACTTTCGGTTATGGCTTAAAGGCTTAATGGGCCCACTGCCGCTCTGAATAATCCACATGGTTCGCTGGTTAGGCGATTTTGAATGCTGCCATGGGATGGATGTCAGCCACGTCAGCGCACCCAGCCATCCCAGTTCCATCTGGGGCTGGGCCACTTTTCCCTACCCTGGCTCGAAATTGAAATTATAATTTGCAACCGCAATCAACCGCACTGAATATGCATGTACACACACTCACTCATACATACTCGTACAAAAAAACACCAGATGTGGGTTATGGCTTGTTTAATTTGCCCTAACTACTGTAGTAACAGCTACAGCTATGGGTGGGACATAGCAGAGGCAGAGACAGGCAGAGCCCATCAATGCCGCTCTTTGCGTACGCATTACCATTCCCCCTATTAACGTCGCCCGCCGACATCTGATTCCATATTTACAATTAATTAATTGCGGCTATTCTGTTTGTTTTTTTTTAATTTGCATATGAATATTTTAATATTTAATTTCACTTAAATCTGAAATTGATCCCCTTTGTGACTCTTACTTTCATTATATTGGAAGGTGGGAATCGGAAGCTGCCGTCAGGGAGAAAGGTTTTTGCTAAATAACTTTCGATTACTTTTCTTCTGTGGTAAATCGGTAAATCATCGAAACCCCTCAAATATACGCACTGCAGGAGTGAGGAGCATCGTTTGAGCAGAATGTTGCATTATATTATTATTTATAATTTTACTTTGCTACCATTTAATTTACTCTTTGCCTTGTCCAACCTACTGGTCAATGCGAAGGAATCAAAGTATGTTTTGATTATAGTTTTTACTTAGCAAGCATTTAATTATACGTATACAGAGCCGCTTGCTCGGCGAGCCTGATCCCAAGCCTCTGGCAGTGCGATGAGCCACTACTGAGTAGCTTGGTCCATTTTGTCAGATTGATTGGGCAGTGGATCAGATTGTTGTGGGCTCTGCCATTTGCCTCATTCCTCGGAAGCTCGTAAGCAAAACCACAGCCAATGCTTACGAGTATGGTTCAAGTTAAGAGCTATACACGTATGACAGTTGCCAGAAGTAGCCTGGAAATACATTATCCGCGGCAAATCAACGCTCCATTGGCGACCCACATTGGCCATCGCAGCGACAGCTCGTCATCTCGGGGATCGTGAGTAGCGGCGCAGACCAAAGTGAAGACAGAAAGACCCATCATCGATACCCTCCTTAGCATTAGCACGGTTTCAGCACATTCGCAGCCCCATCTGGCATCGATAACTTAATTCCATGCATGCCATCCATGCCATCCAGGCCAGTGCAACGCGATGCTTCTAACCCAATTCACGGGCCATGCAAAGTTTTTCTGACATCTGATTGAACCAGCTCAGTGCTGGATCTGGATTTACTCTCCCCTGGCTGCTGCAACATACATTCGTATGTATGTATTTAAAGGGTACGACTATTAAAAAAGGTTTACCCCGTTTACGAGGCTGCTCCGCTGTGACATTTGTCAGCTGCCAGTTGACGGAACTTTTGGCCCGGAGTCAAACCACCCAGATGGTAGCCGAGCGCTGCTCCATCTCTGTCTGCTCTCAGGTGACCCTAATTACATTCAAAGCATGCATATGCATGCATTAGAGACGACAAAGCGCCGGGTATTATACTTAGACCTGAGTTATTAACGTCCAACGAAAGCTCAGTTGACACCAACTTTCAGCAGGCCAAATATTAACACTGCGCAGCAAGACAAAGATCAAATAGCCGTAGATGGGATGTCCCGATATGTCCCTGCAGATGGGCTATTGATTGTCCATACTGTTGAATAAAGTAAGTCAACTCCGACAACTGGCAGATGATTCATTCATTCATTCAGTTAAATTCATGACTCATGATTAAATTCATTTAATTGATGCACCCTTCGACCACATTTATAGTATTCAACCTCCCATTGGAGGGGATTGTGCTTAGTATTAAATACGTCTTACCGAATTGTAATACTCGTTTTGGTTGGACAGTGCTAATAACAAGAGTGTGTACGAGCATGTGGATGCTTCGAACCGCTAGATGAGTGATCGAGATGCAATTTGCTCGTGTTTAATGGCACTTCCCTCCGCTACTCTTCTCTGCGATCGCACGTCGAAAATTAAAAGCAAACAATGGAAACTCCCTGGGTTGCCATAACGGGGCCTGGCCTCTGTATTGCGGGATGTAGAAGAAAATTCGAAAAGTGCAACGGCAAATTGCAATCCGCATGCTCTGCGATCATCGCTTTGCCTTCCCCCCTCTTTGCCAACACTCCACTTTACGAGTACGAGTACGAGTACGAGTATATCCCCGCTCCATCGACACCACTTTCATTTTCATGCTCACCCAACTCACTCGCGTACACTCACAATGGAGCTTATTAATCATATAATTATGTTGCACCTACATACATACATACATACATACATATTTACATCTGTGTGCGTTTTGATTAATGCGAGATGTAGAATTAAGTTGCATTGTCTGCCTTCTGATGATGTCTCTGTTTTCCCCTGCCTTTATCATTTATTTTCATGGAAGTGGCTAAAGGGGCTTCGGCTCTCTAAAATCGGACACAGCTGGATACGGCTTAGAGATTTGATAGTGAAATGAGAGCTTGAGTGGGGCACTGAACTGTAGGAGAAGGGTCCAGATCAACTTCTCCCCTCTTGGGAATCCAAAGTGAAAATTCCCAGAAATGTGAAGCTT